AGCTGCTCTGGAAAATTTCCCAGCCTGATGGAGCAGAAGTGGTGGGGCAGGAAGAGGGGAATGGAGAGGAGGAACCGCTTTCTCCTTTCTGCTCTGTGGAATATTTCCAGAAGTTTCTGTGAAGTTACACCATAGCATGCAATCAGTTTTATTGTTGTATAGGATTTATCACAAGCTACACTGGGAGGGTTTCTGCCCTTCAAATTAAAGAAACAATGTTTATTACATATTGCTGCTGTTGACTATTATTACAGTGGATGTTGAAGTGATGCTGCTGCCGTGTTTCTCTCCGGGCGACTGTCACTTGGTTCAGTGAAATCTCTGATAGACTGTGCTCTTAAATGGAAGTAAAGCTTAATTTCTTCAGTGAGGACTAAACAAGATTATTCCAGAGGTTTATTTGCACAGGTTCAGGGATGGTGGAGTCACAATGAGAAGATACTCTTCTAGAACCCAGTGCCAGCTCCAGATTATGGAGGGCGTTTGGGCAAGAACTCCTCCATGGGCCCCTCCTTCCCTCCTCCAGGAGGGAAGTTCTCCTGAGCACAGGTCCTGCTGAAATAAATGCGTGAACGGGAAAAGCCCCCTCTCATTTTGCTTTGAAAAGCAGCAATGGCTGAGTAGTATGGACTCCACTATGGAAGGCAGGGGAAATCTGCTCTTGATCCAAACACAATGCCCAGGAGGCAGGGCAATGCTCTTCTGCGGGCCTGAGTCATTTAATGGGATCTGCAGAAAAACATCTCAGTAAAGTGCATTCTAGATTTAGAAGTGAGCGGGGAAAAGATGAACACATTACCGCACTGTCCTACAGAGGAAGCCCCTTTTGAATGCTTTTGCCACATTAAATGGTTAACCACATGACATGGGGAGAGCCATTACACCTCACTGGGGATGCTGTGACAGCTGTCTAATAAGTGTCCAGTGTATGTCCACACACTACTCCAAACTATGGGAGGAGGTGCTGTCAGAGGGACAAAAGAAATGCCACATTTTCTGAGAGGTGCATTGAGAATTCAGGGGAAATGAGATAACCAACCTTGAAGAAATAGGCATCTGTGATGTGATGTCAATATTTGTATTGTTCAAAAACAATGTGCAAATCCAAGTAATTTGGGAAAGCTGTTTGGTTTGTGTTTGGTTTTTAGGTGGGTAGTCTTTTATTTTCGTTGCCTGTTTTTATTCCTTTTGATGCCTAAAGTAAGTTGCCTTAAGAAAATTTTGTACCTTAGCAGCTAACCTCAAACTTTAAAAAAAAAAATAGTCATTTTAGAGAAATAATAGTACATTGCACCAGTGCCAGTTTATGAAAAACATAGAACCCAGGGACTTTTTAGCCGGTTCAATAATTCAGGATCAATCACAAAAACCTCAATCTCAGAGAAAAAAAATCAAGAACAGAAATTCTTGACAGCTCCACCACCTTTTGTGGATCATTTGAATTAAGTTCACTTTGGTAGCCTCTGCATTAATACCAAGGAACAGCTATCAGATTGCCTTGCATACATGCAGGCCTAGCATTTTGTCCTGGCTCTTGGATGGTTTCATTGGATTATGTGTTTCTAACTCCACTTCAAAGGCATTTAAAGCTTAGGTGCTGGGCAGTATCCAGTGATGAGTCTGATAACACTTCTCAGTATTTATGGGAAAAAATTTAGTGCGGAAAATTTTCAATTGCTGGTAAAAGGTTTCTGATTTCTCATGGTTGGGTTACAAGAGTCCATTGTTCTTCTGCAATTCCTATTTAGGGTGCTTTAATAGGACTGAGCTTCAGGCAACAGTAACTGGGACAATCACTAATTACATTTCTAGATATTTATCTGATGTAATTTATATCACTGTTCAAAACAGAACATCAACTGTCAGGAAGATTGGCTTGGGCTTAAAGGTCACTGTAAATTGGTAGAAGGCCAGCTCTGCCATGAAGCATAATGAGATGGCTGCCTGAAGTAGGCTTTCTGCATTTCCAGTCTGGTGCTGCTGGGCCTCAGAGCAGATATCAAGATAAAATTATACATGCATGAGCTCTACATCTTGTGATATGATCACAATCTCGACATTTACAATGACCCTAGTTTTGTGCAGATGATGCTCATGGTTAGGTTCACCAGAGTGTATATAGAGAACAAGCCCATGCTTAGGCGGCTGCCCTAAACACTATACCTACCAATTCACTTCCCCTCTCATCCTGCACTACCACATTCTGTGCATCATTGTAGTTTGTCTCTAAACATTGATCACCTGTGGTTCCAGAAAGGTAAGGACCAAATGAAGGAGTTCAAACTGTGTTGTCTTGCAGTCTGTATCACAGTCAACCAGCTGCCACTGCAGCAGCAGAACAGGGTGGAAATGTTGGGCTAGAAGGATCCAGCCCAGATTTGGTACAGAAGGTAGACAAAAGACCTCAAGATCCTTCCTGGCCTACAATTCTGCAGTGAAATAAGTACATAAATGACACCATTGAATTACTCTTTTTCTTCCTTTAGTATCTGATTCATCCCAGCTTAAAACTTACGACATGGCAAAATAATAGGAATAAAGGCCAATGGAGCCCTTTATTTACAGACAAGATGAGACACTAATCATATGCGGTAAAAATTGTAAGACTTCAGGGCAGAGAACTTTACCGGAAGAGTTTCCACAATACATGCATCAAAGACAGACAGACAATGGCCTTTTGGTTTATCTCAGCAGGGAGGTTTTTTTATGCAAGGAAGAAAAGTAGTAAAGGCCCAGTCTATAATGTCTGATTCCCTACCCCCACCCTACTTCAAAACAGTAGAAGGTAAGCCATCCTAGGCTTTCAGTGCTACCTCCATCTTGTGGTTTAGTGGCACCAGAAGATGAAAATGCAACTCTCCAGCTTTTAAAGATGCCACAGCAACCTTATTTTACTGGAATGCACTCTTCCTCCACATGCCATCATTACTGGTTTTCCAGCCGCCACCTTTTTGTTGACTCAGAGCTTGTTGCAGATGATTCAGATCAGGATATGGCATCTTGTTCTAACTCTGCCATTAAATGTTAATCACTGGTAAGAGGAGTTAACTTTATTTCATATCCTGTTAAGGAAACAATCCAACTATCTTATCTTAAAATACTGTGGTAGCAGCCAAGTCAACTGAACTGGATCACAATGACTTTGGGCTGTGGTAGAGTCAAGATTGAGTTGGCCCAGAAAGTCACAGTGCTAGAAATCCAAGGCCTATTCAGTCAACATTTTACTCCTGGCTAACTGCTCTTGAACCATACTCCTGTTTTGTGCCAACCAAGAAACTTCTCTGATGTCAGATGAATACACTTTTGAATGACTGGTGCCAGTACATGGATAAATGAGAGTGTATGGAGTTGTAATGTGTGTGGCTGGGAAGACTATACACAGATACATGCATATATGAGCAGACAGATGGATATGGAGGGTATATGTGAATTAGATGTACATACGGTTTTGGACCCACCTACTGCTGGTGTGTCCCCTGCAAAAGATTACCCACAGGGGAATACAGCTTGCAGGCATTTTGCTAGTTGATAATAATGGAAGGGAAAGGACAAGGAGTTGCTTTCAAGAATTTGAAATAAGGGCAGAAACTTGCTTTTAAAGTAAGATTTCCAGGATGCCAAATGCTGTATCAAAAAGGATTTCCTGCATTTGAGTAGCAGCTGCTATACCTAAGCTGAGACAGTTTGCCTCATTGAGATTCCCAGACTGGCAATTCCGTACCTCTTACTCTGTCTGCTGCTTGTAATTTTCCAATCTGATTTATGGATATATAAATATTTAACATACACTGCCAATTGGTTGGAAGGCTATCAACAAGAACAATCTAGAAGGGGAGGCAGGCGAGTAGAGCAGTTCTGCCAATTTTGTGATCAAACCTCCCATTTTGCAATGGAAATAATCTATGCCCAGCAAGCAAAACTTGTATGTTTGATATACTGGAAACAGCATCTATGAGATAGAGATGGGATGCCCTGCACTTAAAAGTATGTATTTATTGTTACCATCTTTTCTACTTTGACTATTTCAGCTGTCATTATAAGCCGGTACTGCCAGGAAAACTCAATCCTGCCAGGAAGCCCTCTCTTCCAATAATCCTGACTATAAACTTTCCTTTAAAATAAGATAAACATGCAACTACAGTTTGCCTGAAATAGAGAAATCTATCCTAGGCAGTCCCTGCACTTCTTTCAAAGAAGCCCATATTTTACCCCAAGAATATGGCAGTCCATGTATCACTTGCAACCTTGCTAGGCCCATTCCCTCCATAACCCTCATCTTCTTTGCGCCAAAGAACAGTGATAATGAAACGAGGCAGGGTGGCAGAGGGGGCAAAGTCAATTAGAAGCAAAGATACATGACCACTGTGAAGATTACGGGAAGAAAAGTACAGGACTCTCAGTAAATAATATATAACCAGAGACACAGCATACACTACACAAATCTATACAGGACATTGTTTTATTCCATGGAGGAAACCAGATCCCTTCGTGTTGGAATCTTTTCCATCGTCAATCCTTTACTGAAATCTGTGAGCCGACTCTTCTTCGCAACTTCTCACTAGGTTTACTAATAAAAATTGCTTCAAAAATGTAAGGAATTTACAGCAAAGCTAGACTTGGCATGTGGACAATCAAGCCTCCTTCCCGTTTTTTTTTTCTTGTTAATGAAAAGTGGTCCAGGAATTTGCAATGGGGAATAGGACTGAGGGGGGGAGGGGTGCTTAATTCCAGGGGTTTGCAAAATAAATTACCCCTCTCAAGCCTTTTTCACCATGAGGGAAAAATTAGGGACGCCATACCTTTAACATCATAGGTGGAAAAGCAGCTAGGTGAGATTTTGGCAGACCAAAGCACTGAAGGGGTTAAGCAGCTCCTTCTACCCCATCCTTTTGCTCCCTTTCATAGCCTCCATGGCTGCGTTTAACAGCAACAACAACAAAATCTCAGGGGACATGCAACTGAGTGTTTGGTCCCTCGGATTCCACGTGCAAAACACAGTGCGTGCTCCATCCTCCTCTGCAGATCTAGAGAACGGTATGATTGGAAGTGGTATATAAGTCTAACCCTCTAGGGTCTGAAATTCATGCAGCAGCCATCTTCTTAGGAATTTCTGAAAGAGGATTTTTCAGTTTGTAAAGTACCTGCAACATACTTCCACAAGCAAGAGGAAATCAGGAGCTTCAACTCGCTTGAAATCCACTTGCTTTAAACATACCTAATCTCTTTACAAGTCATTTTTCACTGGCTGTAAAGGAAGGCACCTTTACATAACAGCCTACTGGGGATGGATATAGTTGAACAGTTCAATATGTCTCTTAACCGAAAATAACATCTTTTCGAGAAACCAGCCTGGCTTTGTGAATGATTCACTCAAACCCTGGAAGAAGGAAGCAAAAGAAAATGGTATGATAAGGAAGCACAAATGGTAGAAGCAATGACTCCAAATATTTGACCCAAAAGATCACTAACAGACTATTCCTTTCCTAGACTTACACTTTGGCTTTCCATCTGGGAAACCCAACAGGTGGCTTGCTATGAAAAATAATAATACAGTGCAGAAATCTCTGGATCTTGACAATTACAGCTATTGTTGCATGCGTCTTCTTGTGCAAAGGCGGTGCTTGAATAAATAGTGGCCAAGCAACTCTAGGCACCCTTGGATGATACGGATTATTTGGGTCTCTTTCAATCAGGCTTCAGCAGAGAAGCTGTCCTGGTCATTCCGATAACTTACGCCAAATGTAGGGCAAGGGATAGTGAGCTAATTATGCTGAACTTGTTGGCAGCTTTCAATGCCATTAACCAAGGTATCTTTGCCCATAAGTTGTCTGGGTTGGGGCTGACGGTATTGTGTTTCAATGGCAGCACTACAACTTGGGGGGCTGGTTCCTGATGGCACTGCTGCAGGATCACTGCTCTTATGCTGTGGGGCCCTGCCGGGTTCCAACCTGTCTCCTTTTTTTAACATCTACTTGAAACTGCTGAGTGAGTTTATCCTGGAATTTGGAATTACTCACACTGGTATGTTGATGACACTCAACTTCTACACTCTTTTACGTCTGATTCAGATGAAGCTGTAGCAGTGCTACATTTGTATCTTGGGTCAATAATGGAGTAGAGAAGAGCTAATAAACAGAGGCTCAGTCCTGACAAGATGGAAGCACTTCTGGCGGGTGGTTTCTTTGTTTAACCTGGTATGATGAGCTCCACTCTCCCTAAAGGGCCATGTTGACAGTCTGGGGGTGCTGCTCAGTGATTCTCCTTTGGTACTAGAGACCCAGATGATGTGCATGGCATGAAGTGTCTTCCAACAACTGAGGCTAGTGCTCCTGTTGTGCTCCTCGTGGACAAAGATAGCCTGGCTAGTTATCCATGTTCTAGTAACCTCCAGATTATGTTGTTACAATGTGCTGTGCATGGGAATGCCCTTGAAGATCGCTCAGGAATGGCAGCTTGTTCAAATTACAACTGCTAGGCCATTAACGGGGACTGATTACTGGGACATTTCTGGTTTGATACATGATTGTGCTCAGACTTTTCTAGTTAATGGTGCTAAAGTTTTTTCCTACAGCCCTACATGTTTGGGGGATCTGAATACCTACTTCCACATCAACCTGCCTGCATGCAGAGGTAATATTTGAATGACTTCATGCTAGTATGCCCACTATTAGAAGTGAGCAAAAGAAGATATTCTTGGTTGTGGCTCCCCTCCTGTGGAATGCTTTCCCCAGTGAAGCTTGCCTGCTGCCCAATTTGATGACTCCTGGCCACAGGCAAAAACCTTTTATTTTCCCAGGCTTTTAACCTCAGATGTGCCTGTTTAAATGCTGCAATTTTAGCTGTTTTTTATGGTTATGTTGTGGATGTTTTACAGCTGCATCAGGCAGTGCAATTCTGCTAGGTTACACTGCCTGATACAGCTGCTTAGCCATAGGATTTTTTTTTTGGAGACCCAGGTAAGTAATAGAAAAAGCACTCCACCTCATAGCTGGGTCTCCAAGCTTCGAATATCCTCCCCTGCCTTTCAGCCAGCACAGAAAGAAGTGATCTCAGAGACTAGGTTCAGTAGGCATTCCAGGTGGTGGAGAGGAGAGGTCACCATGATACAAAGTTACCTGGTGTCCTTCCTTCATGCTTCAGGATGCAACATTTGGATGGCCGAAACTGGCTGCTTAAATATTTTCTATGGCAGGAGGAGGATGGAAGCAACTTTCACCTCCGCATGCATTTCACCCTGCACTGGATGAATGTAATCCTCCAAGTGTGGAGGGTTACAGGCATCCAGATGGGGCTGCACCCTGTATCAGCCTAGAAACAGTGACAGGCAAAAAGGAAATGCATTAAAAATATACATTCTAAGACAAAACAAATATTTCTGTAGGGCAAGAATAGTCCTTGTTTCAATGTTTTCTCAACTCTTTTTTTCTCAACTCTAGGAAAGTAACATTTCTATTTCTTTTCCTATTTTATTTGCAACTTTACCTAGCAGATTCTAAGGATCGTGGTGGTGCCCACCATACTAACAGTAAACAATATTCAGAAACTCAGTCTGAGCAGTATTTGCCAGGGAGCATGTAACTATGTTAGAAGATGTTCCATGTAATGGTCTCTTCCACAGTAGGGCCCTTAATATCGGTGAGCCATTGCTTTTCCATGATAAGTTGAAAGTGGAATTAAAATGGTGGTTCCAGGGGAAATGTTATATATAGTCTTACATTTTCCCATTCAAATCCTGAAATGTCTGCTCTTATCAGCAAGAAGCTACTGTATGTGCTTCTATGATGCTGTTAAGTTCCTTTGAGAAAAAGGCAAGACATTGATTTGACAATATGTGAATAAAAGTATTTGTACTCAGAAGTAAGTTCTTTTCCAGCTTTTTTCTGCAACTGGCCATTTAATTAGTAACAGTTGCCTTCTTGTCCTGTTTTATAGTAGTTTCTGCCACTTTAATCCATTATTTCCTGCTTATTATGGAAATGGACTTTTAATAGTCCATTCCGGTCACAGGCTTTCATGACTGGTATATTTTTTTGTAGCAAAAGCAAATGTGTAATAACTTTTTCCTTTATTTGCTCTGATCACACTTGCACAGGTAGCCTGTGATTTAAGGCCTGCCCACACACCGTATTCTTCACCATTGCAAAGAACAGAAACTGACTAATTATGGACCAGACTAGGATAGAAAGCAACTGATTAGTGTCAGTGGGTGAGAAACAAAAGCACTTCAAGAAAAAGTGGCAAAGAAGAATATTAAAAAGACAGATAGACCAGGAAACTTCAATAGTTTGGATGGTACTACAATTGAATTTTAACTCAAAAATCAGCACAGACCAGATTTAAAAAAAAAAAAATGGAGGGCACCATGAAAAATATTGGAATAAACAGGTTGGTCACAATAGCTCTATTCCCTCTAAAAAGAGAGTGAGCAAATAATGCCTATTTCAGATTAGCTGAAGGATCACCTACTCTCACATCAGTATTTTAGACTAGAACAGAAGCAATTTTCAATTCAGAACATTTACATCCTGAACTTTGGTATCCATATACAGATGGGAATGTTCCAAACCTTCCAAAGCCAAGCACAGAATTTGGCCCAGCAAGGAACCTCAATTTTATTTCTAGATCTAGGTCACCATTGTCCTTGAAGAATAAGTTTTAGCAAATATAGGCAAAGGCATGTAAATTTGTTTAAAGTTCACAATGTCCTCTTGCCTTAAAGTCACAACTCCCACGCAGCCCCTAAAACTTTCAGCCCCTTCCATTCATAGAAGACCTGACAACCACCCATGTTTGTTACCTGTTCACAGGACTGTCTCCCAGTGTTTGGTCACTGGCTCTTTTGGACTGGTTGTTCATCTGTGAAATCACCAATAGGCCTTGCAAACTCTGCTGCTGAACTACTGGCTTTGGCATAGCAAGGTGGGCATTGTAGTACTTTGCTGACCTCCTGCTAGGAACGCTCCTGCTGCCGAGGATTTCTCTTGGGAGAGAAGCACTTTCTGCATAATACAAAAAACAAAACAAAATTGTACTGCGATGGAGCATGCCCAGCAGACCATTTTTCCTGGATCAGAAAGAGAATGAGAATGCCACTATAGATTACCAAATCACCTGAGTGCCTGAAGTAGAGGAATCTCCTAAAATTCATCTCAGAGCCATTACTGGACAGCAGCGAAAAACAAAAGATCCTTCTGTAATCTTAGGCTGGGAATGGCAATGGGGAGGGACCAGAGGAGACATCTACTGGAGAGAGAAAATGAGGAGGGAGGATTTCTCTTCCAGCGCCAGGAAAAATTGCTCAAGGTTTCTCCGGTGTAGTTTCTCCCCATACTTTGCCATAGACATAGTGGGTCTTCAAGGAACCAGATAGGCAGCTTGTACAGGGCAATGCTAGCTGAACTGTATAGTTCCCTTTTTGTTTGTCCTTTGCCACCAATCAGCCACTCTGTACTGTTTATTTTTTGTGCTCAGAATCTGACCATATTTTCTCCGGTTCTGTACTTTTCCTGAATCCTTAAGAAATCATTTGCCCCAGGACTGTGTACCTTGGGAGTGAAAGTAGAGAGGCTCACAAGAGGATGCCACATTTTTGTGTCAGGTTATTGCCATTTCAATGCCTAGGTTACACACAGAGTGCTCAGTAAAACCTGTAATCTAGTTGTGATCCCGTAAGGACACAGCAGGATGCAGAGAAGCTCCACACAAGGGACTGCAGTGGGATCCTCGGCCAGCTATTCCCAAGGCACCAAGAGCATTTCAGAAGTGAGTCTGGGGAGGTTTCTCTTTTGGTGGTGGCGGGAGATCCCAGTTTTGGCAATACTGCATCAGGCCTGCTGCCCTGAGAGAGGGTTGCCTGCAGGTGCCTGCTCATCACTCCTCCATTCCTGGGCAGGTCTCTCAGTGCTTAATTATACCAAACCTCTAGCCTCCTGCTAAGTATTTTTCATATATTTTTCAGTCAATATTGGTACTATGCTCCAGGGCTTTTGGTCAGCTCTCTAAATCTTTCTTTTACTGTCTGATGAAATTAAACCCATGCGTTATATTGTTTATATATTCCTACTAGTTTGGAAGAATTTAAGTTATTTTTGAAACCAATATTATGTGTCTGAAAATATCTTCATGGATATCTTCATGGATGGCCTGGGTAACCCAGGAGCAGGGTTCTCTTAAAAAAAAGAAAGAATCTCCAGATATCATAAGGATACAGGAATCCTATTAGAAATCGCAAAACATTAAAGCCATTAATACCTGCAACACAAGGTGAGTAGTATATGGCCTTTGACATCTCTAGGGCTAGAGAAGTGGGATTTTGGCTTGCTCATAAACAACTTTGTGACGAAAGATCAGCTGACAGATGACCTAAATGCTAGGTATATCTTCTTTGAAGGATCGATGCAAGATTTTGAAAAAAATCCCAGGGTCACTGCTCAGTCCTAATAATGGTCAAAGGCAGTTTTTACAAACACAAGTGCTTGCACGATTTGCAAAGGACATTATACTTACAGGAGGTGATTTATACTGGATTAATTAAAGTACGAAGGATAGGAGATGTAACCTTAAGAAAACATCAACATGTGTAGACTTTAAATAATATTTTAAATACAACTGACTTATTTACGTCTGGTGAGAAAAAATGCTACGGACTTAAATTACACATTTTTCTCACATGGGTATAATACACATACCCAAATTGACTACTGACTATGATCAAAAAGCTTCACAAGTCAAATTCTCTTCCTCTCAGACATGCTGTCCAACTCCCTCCTGACCATGCGCCTGCCTTTGTTACAATACATACAAGTATCCTCTTCTGAAATCTATACCATGGAACCTGTCCCAAATGTATTACTTTGCAAACATACAGTGAATAAAATGAAGGAGAAATGACACTGAAGACCTTCCTGAAGCCCTAATGTGGGACTCAATTGTGGAACTCAAGGCCATCTGATAACTGAATATGCTCACCTTGAAAGATCAAGACAGGGCTCCAAAATCAGACTTCAAACATTTTTAAACCCTTGAAAACATTCACAAACAATCAGACAGTAAAATGATATACTACATAGAAAACTATTAGAAATAAGAACAGAAATGGCAAATTTAGAAACTGGGGAAAGTGCAAATGCAGTGCCATTCACAAATAAAAAAATATGATAAGTGCAGTGATAAAAGTTCAAGAATTTTGGCTTTTAAACATAAAAAGAAACCCCATTGACTATAATTACAAGTTTGTTACAACATACTGGTGAGTAATTACACAGAACAAAAAATGTGGGAGAAAAAATTCAGGCCTTCTTTTCAGATCTATATAAAGCTAAAATGATAGGAAGCACACAAACTGACACTTGAGCAAAGTAAAATTAAACATTCTTGACACAAAACAACAATATTTAATAGATCAAGTATCTACTGAATAAATAGAATAGAACCAAAACCTATTTTAAAAAAGCCAAAATCTTAAAAGGCTCTGGGCCAGAATGCCTTTATATCACAGTTTTGTACAGTGCTTTTTTTGTAAGAAAAAAGGTGCCGCCGACCTGCTACACTCAACAGGGCGATTCAAATCCACATGGACCAAACATCAAATTTTCAAAAGTTACTTTTAAAACTTGGAAAATCTGTCAAAAAAAGGTGCCGGAACTCCATTCCGGTGCATTCTATGACAAAAAAAGCACTGGTTTTGTAAATCTTTATAGTTGAGCTCCAAAGAAAGAATGCTTTTCAACTCTATATTAAAAGGCAATGCAAAACTGAACAGTTGGAAGGAATCTTGTCTAGTTATCATCTTAAAACCCAGAAAAGATCCAATGCTAGTGGACACATTTAAGTCCATAGTGCTCATAAAACAAGATGCAAAAATGTTCAATATCATCTTAGCCTGGTTCTATTAACAACTAGAATAATGAAGATCAAGCGGAAAGTATTAGACACAGACACATAGCTAACCCAGTTGGACAACCATTGAATACAACTTAGCAGTTTCTTTGCTCATGAAAAAAGGACAAAGATAGCCATCAGATTCCAACAAGCATTGAACAAGATGAGGCAGGATTTCTGATACGCCTTGAGGGAGAAAATGTTATTTCCAAAGAAAATTATGCTGGTTTTAAAACACACATGTATGATCAGACTGAATGGATGGAATAAACCCAAGTTCAGTATAGCAAGGGATACAAGGCAATAATGCTTGTTTTCACCCCTGCTTTTTACTCTCTCCATGGAGCGTATGGCTCACAAAATTCAACAACATAATTTAATATAGGGAGTGAAGTCTGCTGGATCTGTTCACAAAATAAACCTCTTCGCAGATGATGTTGCTTGGATACTATGGAACCTAAAACATTATTGTTTATTCTTAAATAAATTATGGAACATGAAGGAGTGTCATGGCTAGAAATCAATCATAAAAAGTAAAGAATGTTGATCATTAATCTTGTCTCCTCAGACCAACTTTATTTACATCAACCCATCTAAAATTAGTTCATGTTCTAAACATATAAATTACCTTGTGGTTACAAAAATAGAAACAGCTAAAGAAAATGAAATTTCATGCTTTAATAAAATCTATTAGATCTGATATTAAGAAACAGAATAACCTACAAACATTCTGCTTGGGTAGAGCAACACTGCTCTACCCAAGAAAATGATTATCTTATCTCTTCTGAATTTTCTATTCTAGTCCCTCCCAATATGCAGTTTCAAAATTATTTTTTTAAAAATTGGTAGAACACACTTAACTTCACACAACAAAATACATGGACAAACCTCAAGAATGACACTGTCTACAAACCAACATGCCTGGAAGCATTTGGAATACTGAATCTAATACGGTACCATTATGCGGCACCTATACATAATACATTACTAATAACGAAGCAATGCATATGAGTCTACTTAGAACTCTTAATAGAAATTATGCGGCTCCATTTGTTCCTAACACATCAACTGACTCTTCTTAAAAATGTCCTGAATCCCTTTGCATTGGAGGATTTATGGATCTGGACTACCCACCTATCTAGCTACTTACTTTCTTTTGCCATCATCCTCCATTTTACAATAAAAGCAGGGAAGAACAATTTGAGAACTGTAAGAAAAGAACTGTACATGGTCTGAGATCTCTATAAAGATATGAAACCCATTACAGAACCACAACTGAAATAGAAATTGGGAAATGTTGAAGTTGACTAGCTTCATCAAGTGATACATTGTACCTACAATGCCACTTTTATCTCATGTCACTGGATTTCATGTTAAGATATGAACAAACAACAATATTCAGTAATCATAACTCTGCAAAACCTGATGTATCACTGTTACTTACCTTCATTTGGAAGTTGTATACATGAAATATTTGGGAGGTGTTGCTAATATATACATTAGATATTTTATATACTTGCATTTTTCTAATTTTACTTGAAAATGTAAACATTTAAAAAATAAAAATGAGGGTGACAATACCTTCTGGTAAGAACCAGAAACATTCAAGGCTACCAATCCACAGCTGAAAGCAAGATCAACATGATTGCAAAGCTGACTCTTCCCCACTACTGATGGGCTATGAACCTGGAATTGGTTTATATTTTTTAAGATATTTTGATTCTGGTGGAGTACTGTGTATTCCATAATTGCATATACATGAGAAAATTTGCAAGTGTTAAAGATTTGCCTTCCTTCTAACAATATGTGGTAATTTTTACTTGTTAAATTGTACGTTATCTCATATATAAGGTTTATTGAACCTATTACACAAGATCCTCAATATAAACAAGTTTATTGAAATTTTACATATTAATACCACTTAATCTGTAATTGTATTTAAATACAACTGATTAACTATTCAGTCAGTTAAAAGTCAATCTGACTCAACTGAATATTTGGACAACCAGATCCCCTCCCTAATTCTCAGCTACAGCTATGAATTAAAAGCGTACTTCCACTTTTAAATTAATTGGGCTTCCCATAATATCTAAAGTCAGAATAGTTAGTTCTGCTTTCGCTCTTGGGCAGTATAGCAGCAGCAGCTGTAGTAATAGTAGTAGTAATAAGTTTAAACAATCCAGGATCATAAACCATCATTTGAATCAAGCTTGTTTGAAAAGACCAGTGTTTAAACTGACCACAGTTCCCTTGAATTTTGACAATACAGGGAACTCTGGTTAGTTTTTAAAAGAAAGCAAAGCCTTTTAATCTCCTCCTCATGGCTGTAAGGGGAGGAGTGGAAAGCATAAAAACTTGAGGCTCCTGCTTGTTTATGTATACAGGTAATGATGGATCAATTTTATGCTATATCCAAAACAAACAAGGTTAAACAACTAGTTGATAGACTCAAGGCAATGTGACTAAAAGTCAGCTGTTCAATGACTACCATTCCCAGGTCCTATACCAGGGAAAAGTAGAAAGCATTTTCCTTGTGTCACACCTGCATACGAACTGGGCATACTATGTTGAATTTTCTCTAGCTTTTCTCAGCTGTGTGGTCTGAGGGCAAAACCACTGAGATATCAATCTCAGGCATCTGGATAACATGAGTTAGTAGTACTAAACCAATGGCACCAAAGAACTAGTAGAAATCTAAAACATGCAACTTTTTTTAACAATAAGGTGTCTCTCCAATGCTCAACATTACACTCTGCTTGCTCAACACTGTTGCAAATGCTCTGACCTATCTCCAATTTTTGGTGCTTGGGTGACAGGATGCCAAGAAAATGGCACTCACGTGCTCGGTTGGTGAGGAGATGAGATTGCTGTAGCGAAAGTAGCCTGAGGTTTCTCTCTGCTGGTGTGAAATTCATCCTGCTGAAGAGTTCGGAGACTACTCTTTTTGGAGTTCTTTTTTCTTTGACATTCTCAGAGAATCTCATTCTCACCATTGGAGTAGCAGAGCGTGAGAAGGCTGTGTTTTCTCTAACGTGAAAGTGCAAGGGTTGTTCTCCGAATGGCCGGAAGTTTTTAATAGCTGGACTTGCATAGCAAGCCAATGTTCTTGTTGCCCTCTCCGCCCGAGGCTGTGTCATTGTTGGAAAATGCTTGTGAGGACATAGGGTTTGTTTACTGCATGCTTTTGTAAACACTGGAAGCTGGGGCTGGTAAAGGAGAGAAGGAAGGTCTGTAATAGAGTCCCTCTTCAACATGGCTGCCAACTTCACTGACAACCCAGCTGTCAGAGACCCAGGAGCTGACACAGTTCCTTTCCTCCAAGCTGATACTTGGTGACTTTTAATACTTATGCATACTTGTATCTGCCACATCTTTATAGTATCTGATTAATGTAATCATGGAAATACCCGGCATCAATCAAAGTCTGAGAGCGGCTGACACATTTGATCCAAAGGGCTTTTCAATGATACTGCCTCTCCTTAGAAATATTCTCCCCAAGTAGCACACTACTAAATTGAATCAGCTCACTGGCCAGAAAATATTTTGAAAAGCTCTATGCTTTAAAGTGGCTTATTTTCAAATAAATAAATAAATAAAATCAACCTTCCAGGGCCAAAGACTTTCTCTGTGTTTGCTAACTGGAGCTGCCCTGTGATTCAAGATCCAGTGCATTAGTAATTTACAAGTACTGTGGTGTTATCACTTACACTCGTTCTAATGCTCACATCTGGTGCAGAACAGTGGCCACTAATGATGTCCCTCAGTTCTGGATTTGAATTACATTGTTCTGGGATGCTGGATGAATTCTGTTTGGTGAGGTCAGGCACGGAGCTGTAAGGCCTTACGGGCTGTTTTTCAGGGGTCTCTGGGCAACTGCCTGTCCCATGGCTCTCATGCTGGGAGAGGCTTGAAGAATCACAAGCTACTTCTTTCGTGGGCTCTTGCTCCTCTGAAAGATTGAGTGGGAAGGCAGGTCCAGGCTCAGAATCTGAAGAAACCCGAGGCTGCAAAGGTAGGAAAAAGAAACCCAGAACAACAGAGGATCAGAAGTGAAAGTCTTGTGTGTGAGAGCTTTGAGATTATACCAGATTTTACAACATCAGCACACACACGCACACACACACGCATGTGCACGCACACACGTTTAACCAATTTCATAAAATGGTAAGCCTATTGAGTGTTTACATAAAATGGTAAGCCTGTTAACCTACCAAAATGCAAAGGAAAGGTTGCTTTAATAAATTGTGCTCTGATCTTCCGTTACTGACAAAGGGAAAACTGACCTTGCAATATTCAATCCTAAAAAACCACCAAGTTCAATTCTTAAAACAAAACCTATCCAGAATGAGCTTCTAAAGGCACAATCCTATCATGATAACGATACGGCTGCAAACTCAGAGGCTTATGATCATCCCATGCAGGGTGGGAGGAGTCGGGGAGGCAAACTGCACCTCTCTCCCTCCCTCCTTGCATTTTTCATCAGACAGGCTTAGCTGCCCATTTAGCTGGGGTGTTTCATAGCAGGAAGGAAGGAGGCTGAAGAGGCCTCAGGATGACATATTCTGGCCCCTCAGATCTGCTCACGCCACCCATCAAAGCATTCCTTTTCCCTCATCTCTGACCTCAAAGAGGAGCCATTGCAGGTCTTTCTGTTTGGGGTGAAGAGGAGGTGGGAGGGGGGCAGAACTCCAATTCCCAACTGCTAGGCTAAGGCACACTGTCTAACCTCAGATCAGGGAATCTGAAATATCTTATGGCCCCTCAGATGCTGGCAAGGGGACACAGAATTCCGCCCCCCCAAACTGGCTCACATCAAGGTATTGCCCCTCTTCTGGAAGGGGTTGCCTCCCCAGAAGGATCAGGTTCATACCTGATGCCACTACAGCAGGTTGCAGGTGGCTTTCAAGTGCCTTCTATTAGCTTTGGCTACAAGCTCAGCCCCAGCTTTGCACTTATCTGGATAGGAATAACCTGGCTTCAGTCATCTATACTCTGGTCACCCCTAGTTCAGGTTACTGCAATGCACTTAACACTGGGCTGCCTTTGAAAGCAGTTTGGCAGCTGCAGCTTATAACGAATGTGGTGAACAGACTGATAGTGGTGACCTGGAGGTCAGAACTGGTAACATTGCTTCTGGCCTTCTTGCACTGTCTGTCTCTACACTTCCTAGCCCTATCTGGGGTATAGTTTGCTCTCTACGGTCTGACAACATTTGGGGCTGGTTTTGCTGTTTCAAAGTGTTCTAAATGTATGTGCAGTAAACATTTTATGTTTTTTCAATGCTGTTTTTTCATATTTTAGAGAGCTTTGGCTAGCGGGTACAATGCGCAAATGAAATGAATGAATGAATGAATGAATATCTACAACTTGCTTTATCCCTCTCACTCCCTTATCCCTTTGTCAGTCTAAAAATATCCCCAGATACCTTGCATGAGTGTTACTTCAATCTTTCTGATACAGGCTGGATTCACACGACATGACAAACAACTGTGTGTGAACTTTTTTGGCCTGGATATGCCTGAGAGATAAATCAAGTGGTTTCTACACTGGCATGTTTCCACCTTCTTCGGTAGCTATATCCCATCAGCTCCCATGCCTGAAATTCATCCCATGCTGGATGGCTGCAGCAGCTCCTGCAGTTGCCACTCTTTCCAGGGTACTCTGTGGTAGTTGCATACCAAGACTGTTGAAACCATGATGCTGGGTTTGGATGACCAGAGAAACCATGGTGAAGGGTGCAAACCAGAGAACAGGCCATTGTTTCTTATCATGGTTTCTAAAAATCAAAGATACCATGCTGAAATCCCATGACAGGATTCAGAGGACACAACAGACACTTCTGCACAAGAAATGACTTGTTGTATCATGCAAACCCCACCTACATATAATGAGTAACATTCCCAATCATATAGCATATAAATGGAAGTATAAATAAAATTCTCATCCATAAGTCATCAAGAAGTATGCAACTTATTGCACATATTATTAAAAATCATATAATTGCCGAATTGTGCTGGTCTAAGATGGTCAAGATCCCACCTCAAAATTTAACTCTGCTCAGACAAAATATTAGGAATATTTGAGGATTTTGTTCACTTTGTACATTTAGGCAGACTCTCCTGATTTGTATGGAGTAATACATAGTTCAGAATACTATTATTCTTAGGTTTATACCTTTCTCCAGATTTTATGGAATGGTTGGCTATTCAAAGAATGTGCTGAGATGCATACAAAAAGGCCTTTAAAAACAAAATGTATAAAATGCCTATTTTTGGTTAAAATGTGCAGTTAACTTTTAAATCTATATTTTTGTGCATTTTTCATTAAAATATGTAGACTGCTGTGAAAATGTGATATGATGGACTTAAGAATGAATGTATGCAAAACTGACATGGACTCAAATTAGCATGATTTGTTCATCCCCACCCCTAAATACCCCACTGCAATTGTCCATATCCTTCCCTCTCCCTTCTGTGTTATTCATTACCCTTGCCTCTTTCTTTTTTCCTAAACACACTATTTGAAAAGGCAGCCTGACTCATGTTACTCTGTAAAGTGCGGTGTACATTAATGGAGGCATACAAATAATGAAACAAAGTAAGATGAAGTTAGAGGGATGGGTTAGAGATTAACCCACCAGGTGTGGACATAGGCGAGGGAAAGACAGGAGGTTGAAGAAGAGCAAGGGAAGTGAATCTGGGAGGGTTTGGAAAGGCTTGGCTCAATAAATATAACTTGTGGGGAAGGAGGCCTGAGAAAGAAGGCATCTTTCTGGGCAAAGGCAACAAGTCTAGAGATGTGAGTCAAATAATGACTAGTAGCTGAGCTTGTGAAGTACAAAAGGAATGTCCACAGAGTAGGTGAAAACAAAAAAGAGGGAAGTAGAGAGCTATTCAGGTGAAGACAGGTCCTTCTAGATCATCTTTCTCAGTCTCATAAATTGACAGAATAACGCATAATGTCTTAAACCTCTTCTATACCATCTGAACTCCCCCTTTTTAACTTTAGATTTGTATCCTACCTTTTGCAACGATCTCCATTTTATCCTCAGAACAAGCACCCTGTGAGGCAGGTTAGGCTGAGAGTAACAGGCCCGAAGTCACGCAGTGAGTGTCACAGCTGAGCAGTGGGCTAGAACCCAGATCTCCTGGGTGCCCAGACCAACCCTCTAACCACCATGCCACACTGGCTTGAAGGAACAGTGGGAGGTGCATGTGAGAAACAAATAAAACAACTTAAAAGCAAAATGTTTTCACAGAGCATGATGGAAAGCTGGAATAAGGACATAAGAAATAGGTTAACATGACAGTACTGTTCCTTCTTGTACCTAATTAACACAAGTCTGAGTCATGGGGGAGTGAAGGGGAACAGGCTGTGTAGCCATCTGTAGCCAGAGTTCTGTTGCCCACATATATATTGGGATCATCTTTCCTTGGAGATATTTCTAGAAAGGTGGGAGGAAGAAGGCTGGGCTCGTCATAGAGGGACAGAAGAATGCACTTAGTGGAGCATTTCCAATATGCCAGAAAGGAAAGGAAAGGAAGAGGTTACAAATAAGACAGGAGGTGACCACCGCATTTATAAGCATTTAAAGTAGCTAGACAAGAAGAAATGGTGGCTCTCACAGATGTTGAAAGAGAGTAAGTTGCAGAGGGGTGATCCCATACTTCCAACAAGGTGCGTATAGTCTGGACCATTTGAATTGTGCAAGGACAAATTCCATCAAGTTTAAATGAGGTGAAATGTCTTGAAGATGGAATGTAATCCAAGAATGAAAACTGAGGGTTGTTGTTGTTGTCACTGCAGCTCTTTCACAGAAGAGTACTTTCCATTTGTTTTCCTATGCCTGCTGGTGGACTAGCGGGGGATAATAATTTCCCAGCTGAAATGCTTCTCTGTGAGTCCTACCTGGGCAGAGACTGGCACTGTACTTGCTCTGTTTGCCACTTTTTGCCTGGAAATCTTCATTTTTTCTCCACCAGACTCTCCCTGCAGTTCAGCCTTCTTTTCTTTCAGCAGAGATGCTTTTTGTTCCTGCTTGAGACGGAGCTCCTGAAGCTGCTGCCTATGGATGGCATTGGGCAGAAGAATTTAGCACAAATTCCTATGGGAAGGGGGCCACATACCCTGTGCTGCATATTGCTGTCAAGAGGCTATCCTGAATCTGGGAGACCCTTAAGCAGTGGGGTAATGCAGGTGCCATTGTCACACCCCAAGGAGAGTCCCGGCACGCAGGCAACTGTGTTGATCTGTGTCAACAAACCTGTTCTGGAAGTCTTCATCTCCACCAGAAGCAGTGATGCCAAAGGCTTGTTCAAGAACATGCCACCTCACATTATACTTCACATTATAACAGGGGTAACTCAAGAGGCACTGTTGCTAGAAAAATCCATTTCTTTGAGCAGGCTGGGAAGGGACAGATGACAACACTGTCCTTGCTAACCAAAAGCCTTGGTGCTTCCATCCTATGACACCACTGCCCTTAACTCCTCTCAGCTTCCTGAACATCCCCCAAAGTAATGCATGAGGTCCAGTGCCAGGCAAAAACAGACTGGCCTCACCCCTAAGCCCAAACTATTATAGGAAATCAGCACTCTAGTTGCAATGTCAAGGATTTTTTTCTTGGTATAGCATGTGCTTCACCAGATGACACAGGCAGCTAAACAGGGCCAAGTTAGCAATCCTAGCAGTCAGCACGGAAGGCAAATGAGAACGCAGATGGATCGAGGTAGGGTTTAACTGGTGCCAGGGCTCAGACTCCAAGTTTTTTCCATGTCTGGGCTTAGTCCAAGAAGATTTACTAATACAGGGGGAAACGTACATGCAAGGCCCATTTCCTTTCAGTCCTGATCAGGCTTACACTTCTGAGGGGGAAACTTCCAAGGCACAGAATGTCCTTTCTAGATAGGCATCAGCCATTTCAGAAATTATGCACTGTTGTCATGAGACTTTAAGGCAGTTTTGTCCTGTTCTAAAAGGCTGAAATGCATCTCCTAAGGAGAGAGCTCTAAGCGAGAGTTTTAACCTCAAATAAGCTAGAAGTTTGCCACCTGCCCTTCTTGTCTTTGGCCCTACTTGGCCTTGGTATTCAGCCCCCAAGAAATTTCCAAAACTGAATTTGTTTCTCCAGTTAAAAGAGGTTCACTATCCCAGTCTAACAGATACATGCCACAGTCTGTGGGTCTTAGAGAGGGAAGAGGGTTTCAGGATCACCCAGCGAAGCTATTGAGCTATTTCACACAATCAATAATTCACTTTTGGAACTCATGACCACAAGAAGTGTTCCAGTGTACAGCTAGCTTTCAAAAAGAGATTGCACAAATTCACAGAGACCACCTCTATTCATGGCTAGAAGCCCTTTGCTGTGTTGTTTTATTCTGCTCATTTATTTTAAGCTGTTCTGAGACGTTTGTAGTGAACAAGTTAGAAAAACTGTTAATAAATAAAGCCAGCCACCCAGGCCTAGAGCTCCATGTTAACTCCATGCACAGAGAAGCAGTTTCCTCTAATGCTAGGGGATAAGGGCAAATGACAGGGGAAGGCCACCATGTTTGCGTCCTTCCTGTCGGCATCCAGAAACATGTGGCAGTGGTTGCTGTTGGAACCAGAATACTGCTGCAATCAGCCTTTCCCAGCCTAGTCCCCCAGGTGTGTTGGCCTACAACTTCCCTACATCCTATCCTGCATGGGAGCTGTAGTCTGACATCTGGGGGACAAGAGGTTGGGAAAGTGTGGAGCAGATGAATCTGTATACAAGAGACATTGTCTGGTTACAGTGAGCAGTTTTTCCTTCTCCCTAGAGAACAAAGGGAATTCTAGTTCTGTGTCAGAGTGGTCTAGGGATCTCTGAAAGAGAATGTTAACAACAAACTTCAGTTCCCAGATTCTTCAGGAGGAACCACAATAGCACAGAATTAGTATAAATCCAAGATGTGGCACAGATAGGGCATTACTGGCAATCCACAATGCAGGCTAAGAAATATTGGCTTGACTTATTAGCCAGCCATACAAAGTTGCATTTGCCTTGCCTCCCCCTCTCCCCAAGTCCTTTGTTTGTGCTGAATAATTTGGGCAATCTTTCCACCAGACTGGCTAAGACAATTATGAATTTTCTTTTTTCCTCCTCAGTCTCTTTTCCCTATTTGTTGATTTCTTTAATATTGCAAGCTGCAGGCAAGAACTGTCTTGTTTAATGGATTATTCACACTTGAAGCTATTTTTGGCTGAGAAGAGGCATAAAAATACTTCAAATAAGTATCATTAATAAAGTGTTATTTATATAGTGCACATTCTTGGCATTATGTACTGACTTCTTTTGAGGTAAGCTATGCCAGCCTGCATAGCTATACATCAAGCTAGTATGTCAAGTCACCTTTGCCACGTTGGAAAGGCTCGGGCCTGCAGCCAGAGAGGTGACCAAATTTGGAAGTGGAGCAGGGTGTTGTACTTGATGGTCTCGCAGACCCAATCCAACTCTACTTCTATTCTATTCTAGTGCAAGGTAGAAAGTAGCATCTGTGGGGATAATAAAATTGTTTCATAGGCAGTCAACTGCAACAAAATCACCCAAGTGCAGAGCAAACTGAAGGGCGGGGTGGGTGGGGGCATCCAGGCAAGACGCTCCGAACACTTGCGCTGGTGGGCCCATCTTCTCCCTACCGCCGTTAGCAGTGCTCTCTTTCTCTGGGCTCAAAGCAACAATTGCCCAGAAGAATGCAGGACAAGAGGAGGAGAAGCAGGTGCCATCTCTTCATCCAGATCACTGTTTTTGCAAGCTTGGAGAAAGGAGGTGAATGCCAGAAGCAGGAAGAAAATCCGGTGGGGCTCAAAATGCCAGGACAGAGCAATAGAGCCCCCCTTCAGGGTTGTGGGCTTTGGCAAGTGCCCGATGGTGCTCACCCCGGCCTTGCCTTAGCATGCTTGTATGGGAAGTCATTGCAAGCCCCACCTTACCCCCAGTACACACACACAGTTTATCAGGAATACAAGCTATGGGCAAGGACATGGAAGCTCTTTTGACCCAAAAGCCAAATTTTATTCCAGAGAAGTTTTCAAGGAGGCCACATTTCAGTGGCAGCTGGGGCTGGAAGCGATATCCAAAGGACCAGCCCTTTTTAGTCTAAAGCTCTTCTGCTAGTAACTAATCCTTAGGAAAGGTATTTCAACCTTTGGGAATAGGGCAAGACTGCACTAAAGATTGGGAGGGAAAGGGAAGCAGCTTCGGAATCCTGGAGGGTCACACAAGGACCCCAGGAGAGCTGGATTTGGCTCCTGGGCCCGAGGTTGTACACCCAGCCTTGGGGATTGCCATGAAAAATTTTGGGGAGAAAGACTAGAACTGTTAGGCTTAGGGCTGGATAGCATTTGAGAGGTTGTGCTGCTAGACTAGAACTACTACACTTCCCACTGAATTCTTGCCCGAACACTACATTTAGTACACAAAGATAATTGTGGGAAAGGCAGTGGAAGCCGCCAGTGTTCCAACTGCCAAAGTAAACTACATTCAAAAATAGTTTTGTTTTATTTAAGAGACCAAGAAGAGCTATTTCTCACCTGGCATATTCTTCACGTGCTCTGGAAGCTGCTGTTTCCTGGAAGAGTGAATTATTGTGTTGGAAAAACTTATCATATTTGTCTGAATCAGAACTGGGGTAAATTCGGCGATAGCCTCCTGTGTTTATTTCCTCATATTTTTCTGCTTGCTGGAGCCAAGCAGCTTGGCAGCTCTTGAATTCCTCGGCCCTGATAAAATCAGCCAAGTAAAATTGTTAACAACCCCCAGAGAAAATGTCTTCTATGGGAGATCTTTCCATTTTGTTTCCATGCTGCAACTTCAGGCCTTAAATCATATCCGTTTACACACTGGGACAAAAACTTTGTCATACCATTTTTAAACAAACTCCAGAGACATAAATGTCACACACAGCAGCCTCATTCTTATTTACTAGATACAGCCTTTGTTCTTATTTACTAGATACAGAAAGCTCAAGTTTGTCAATGCTTGAGTTTTGTCTCTCCCCGTCTTGCTAGGGAAGACAAGATGAAAGCTCTTCCTTATTTCCTTCACAGGAAGAGAGCCAGGATGCTGCCAAAAATCCATGGAAGGCACTTGCACTTTGGCTTATTTTTTTGGCCATTCTGAGCCCTCCCTAGTGTGGTGCTGTGGTTAAAAGTGCTGGAATGAGACTCTGGAGATCTGGATTCTAGTCCTCACACAGCCATGACACCTACTGGGTGGCTCCGAGTCAGTCACTTTCTCTTGGCTTGACCTACTTCACAGGGTTGTTATCATGAGAATAAAATGGAGAGGAGGAAAACTTTGCAAGCTCCCTTGGGTCTCTTGCAACTGGAAGAAAAGTGGGTAGTAGTAGTAGTAGTGGTAGTACTATTGATAATGTACCCCCCATATACGAGTAGAGACTTTAGCATATCTGTGACATTTGGAAAACAATAAGTGGGAGCCATATTTGGGCTTGTGTACATTTTTAGTGTTAGCCATCCAAGCTTAGATTTTTACACTTTCTTTATATGCTCCAGGCTGATGCAGAAACCCAATCTCAATGATTAATAAAGGAAGAGCTGCAAACTTTGGACATAATGTCTGGGATCTTCACTTTACACTGGGGGCATGGTTAAAGATATGTTTCTGTACCAACTAGTTCTGTTTTGTGCTGAGCAGGTACTGCAATGCTTACAGAAATGATGAGTTTCTTCTTGCTGTACTCCCTATCTTTGCTGAATGCTGAGCAGCTCTCCTATATTCCCTAGAAAATTGGGAAAGCAAAGACAAAAAGGTTGATGTTCTGGCCCTGATGTTATGTTTTGAATGACAAACAAATCACTGTCTACTGCACAACTCTTCATACAGGCAACTCAAACATTCTGGACTCTTCCAGCACTAGCTGGATACTTCCAGCCCTAATGTGCAATTTCTTTTATCAGAAGCTAAAACTGCCTGTTTTATAACCTCATCTCAATGCTGCTCTTCTGTTCCCCACTGCACTGCTCAGTACGTTCCATCAAATCCACCAGGGTGAGGGAATAATGCAGCACAATTGGACAAATATAGCATTATTTTAGGAGAAAACTAAATCAATCAAAATCCTAGGTCTGCCTTCCTAGGAGGAGAAAACACATATGCATGAGATAACAACTCATCTCGGTATAGGTTTATAGTAAGGTAACGAAGGAAAAGTTGAAACAAAAGGAAGCACGATAATAGTGCTGGCCTGGTGATTGCCTTGTGAACGAAATGATCTCCCTGATACATATACAGACGGATCGTTTCTCATGTCCTCCCTTTCAAAATACCAACATACCTGTTTGGAGATGTGCTTTGGTATATCTGAGCTACTTCTGCTATACAAAAAGCAGCTTGCTAAGGCAGAACTAGATGCTCCAGTATACATGCTGCAGCCGCTGAAAACAAGAGCCAACGATGCAGAGCTTGGTGGGGAAATGCATGATGTTGTGACATCGGGATGTGGATAAACTGCACCAGACATTATGGACGGGGGGTGGACTAGATAAGCAGCTCCTTTTACAGCAACAGCCACATATATATCATACTGCTTAGTTCTATCCTAAATGCCACTGATGCTTTGCTAATTTCATTTTGTCTGTGAGTATCCATTTTGATATATCTCTGCAGTCCCTGTTTAAAGATGGCTACTAAATGAATGTTGCATTAAAATATAGCCATTTGCTTGTTGTATGCTTTATAGGAAAAAACCTCTCTACAAGGCAAATCAATTACATTAAAGATGTTTTGCAGGTGGTTTAAAAAGCTAATCGACATAGTCCCAGGAAACAGCAGAAGGATTGAGAAAGCTCACACCTGGCTTCTCGATTACGGCATTGGTTCAGAAGCCTCTCCCTCCCTCGCCGTTTCTCTTCTTCCAAAACTTTCCGTTTATCACATGCTCCCAAGTTGATCAGGACCAGAGTGTCATACAGGAGTTGGTCTTTCACTTCTTTGTCCAGCCAGGAATCGGTACTGAAGCTTGGCGAATGATTCACCTGAGATATCAGAAATCAAAGCTCTTTTGCATTTGCTACAAACTGATATATTAACATTGCTGAGAGCTCTAGAATAGCAAAGGGGGAAGTAAAGGCACATTTACAGGGGAAGTAATCTGAAGCCAATGTTTTAAACTTCCAGGGTGCAAGGACGTGCAAGGGCTTGCTATGGCCTTCTCAACATGATCAGATTTCCAGAATTATCAACAGTAATAATGTATAAAAGAAAGGCATCCTTAATAGCTGCTCCCCAATTATGACAATCCACTATTACCATCTTCCCCAAACACTATATTTAATTGTTGCATTGTTATGCCAGCTTTCCTCCAAGTTGCTCTGGGTGGCTTGCAAGGATCTCACTTTTTTACCTTTGCTTTTCATGGCTATGAGTAAGTTGGCACGGAGGGCCTCTTGATTTGAACTGTAACCCTTTTACTCTTGTGAGGGACTTACTGCATTATTTAGAATTTTTAATAGTAGTGCCACTAATTTGATTTTGCAAATATATTTTGATGAGTAGAGGTAGGCAGGCAGGCCGTAATTTACATTTATTTTAAAAGACTTGGGCCTTGAACTACAATTAGATAAAAATCTTATCAAGGTAGTATAGTACAAAGCTGAGATTTATACAGATGGAAAATGGTAGGCTGTGGATGGAAGATAGTGCAAAATACTATGCAAATATAATCAAATAGAAAATGTTAAAAGGTAATTATGCATATATTCTTTATTTACTGAAAAGGAGCATTTCCACAGTGAACCAAAATAAACTATTTCACCACCTAATTAAATAAATTGCATGACTGCCAAAGAAAGATACACTGTACTAAACAGCAGCATTCAAAGAGGATGTCTGCTGTTAAATTACAGGAAATTAAAAGATTATGATTAAATATTTATTTTTCCTGAAATTAGAGGAATAGGAAGAGTTGTGATATTTGTTTAAATGTTGGGGCATATATCAAATGGTATTATAGTAATCATAAGAGGAACATTTTTCCAATCTATTTTCTTTGATATAGACATACATAATTTAATTATGGTGAAGCACTTAATAAACTATAAATGTAATATGATAGTACATATTTTAATGGGCAATTTTATTTTCTTGGCTTCATGCTATTGTTTTCTAACACTGACATCTTCCTGATCCCTCAGCATGACCTGACATCTAAATAAATAAAAAAGTGATGATGAGTTATGCCTAACATTAGTTCTACTGAGAGCGGACTCACTGAAATGAATTGGACTTAAGTTGGATTAATATAGGATACCACCCAAAGTACTTCAATGGCTAAAACAGGTTGAAAGTAAAGAAAGGAAAGCACTTTTATGCCCAGTGTGTATCTAGTCTGTGAAACCAGCTGCCATGGGATGTTACGCGGACAGCTGCCTTGAACAGCTTGAACTAAATCGCTGTATAGCTAAGTTCATCAGTGGCGGCCAGTCAGGACAGCCAAGAGTAAAGCCTCTATTTCTAAAGCAAGGACGCCCTTCAGTGTACCAGATACTGAGAATATGGAGACGACGAGTGTGGTTATCATCATCCTGTCCTGCTTGTGAGCGTGTCTGTTAGAAGCTGGAAGAAAGAGGTACTAGCTAGATACACCATTGCTATGACCCGCTTTGCTACATGTGCATGTTTTTAATCCTCCTGGATTATCTGTTTGTTCAATCCATGGATTGTCCTCCCAATGCACAAGGGCGCCTTTGATTTTTTTTTTTTTAAACAAACATTTCCTGTAGTCTACTGCCCTCTACTGGGCATCCATATGATTGGAAGAATTGCCACAGGGTACAAAATTGCTGGGGCCAGCCACAAACTGAAATGGGGAAGGGTCAAAGTGGAACCTGGGAATAGGAGTTGCCTGTCCGTCCAGAGGATAGGCAGAGAGAAACAGTGGCGACCGTTTCCGGGTTCAAGACAGAAACCGTTTGCCTTGGAGACACATACCTCGAGCAGCCATGGTTTGAGTTTTCGATCCAGTAAAATATCAAACCCCAGGATTTCAAAGCAAGCACTCCACATGATGTGGTTAGGGAAGCAAGTCAGATAATTATGCTTGAGGATAGGCTGGGCTGACACCAGGGTCTTAATCACAACGTCATCAATATCTTTCCATATCTGTTTTGTTTCATAACCATTTTCCTCCATGTGCTTATTGAAGGTGGACAGCTTCCTTAAAAAATGGGGAAGGGTTATGGGGAAAAGAACAAAAGTGAGGCAATATATTTAAAGGTAGGGGATTTTCTTTTTACAGAGATGTCAGAGCTCAGTGGCAACCATCAGCTAAAACAGCATGAAAAGCAGTGCTTCACATCCATCCGTCTGCTTCACATGAATTGACCCAGTAGAGAACCAATCCATGGCTGTGTATCTGTAACCGCTATGGGGTGCTACTAGCCAGAGGGCTTCTAGCACTAGCATCAAAAGGCATTGCAGAGTGGCTCCTTTTGCTCCTCAACAGATTTTCTGCATTAAAGAAGAATGCACAAGAAAAAAAATGGGGGGCTATGCACAGAAGGGAGTGGCTGGGTTCGCACCATCACCAGAGAAAAGAAGCCATGGCAGCTCTTCCCCTTTGCCCAGCACAAGCCAGTCACATGCTACATGACTTGCTTATTTCCCCTTCTGGTGTGTGGCTTGCCATCTCATGTGAACCCAGGGAGATGCAAGGCAGAGTTGGCTCCAAGGCACCAAAGAACTCATCGTTGCTGTAGCTTCTGGGGTGATCCGAAAGCTGCCCCTCACAGCACACTGTGCTGGGTCTGAGTGATACAGCAACTTGAGGTATATTGCATGGAGCATGGAAAAAAAATCATGGTGGCTTCTTCTCCCTAGTGATGGTGTGAACATGGCAAATGTCATTCAGAACCTTTGTGAACATTCATGGATGGGACAGAAGAATGGCATCATAAAATCCTAATCTTCAGTGTGGATCTCGCAGTATTTTTCCAAAAAAAAGAGCCACACTGTTATTCAGTCTGACAGGTAGGCAGGCATAGACAGTTAAAAGCCAAAGATGGATTGACAGAATAACTGAAGCACTTGGGAGGGTGGCTAGTCCATAGGGCAATGGGTAATATCATAATTTATGCAAAGGACTTTGCATCTCTCGTGGACCTTGGCAGAAAGACGTGGTGAAAGTCATAGGCTGGGAGTGAACTCCCATTTCTAAGGGCACTGTTTAAAATGCTATAAAACTGTTTGTGACTGCCTCAGGATGCAAGGACACTACAAAAGGCTTCTGCAGAACCCAGAATAGATTAATGTAAAGGCAGTAGTTTTATAATTTATGCTCTTTACCAAAAAGCTTAAAAAGAACTTTGAAGCCATCTTTCACCAAGGTAAGGGACTACTGCTGCAAAGGCAGAGACTGAGCTTGGGTGGGAATCAAGAGTGATCTCTTTCCCTTGGATGTATGGAAACATCCCTCCTCCCTCTTGTTTACTCAGTTGCCCCACTGCCTGCTCCCCTCTCTGCATTGCAGGATCAAGGCTGCACTGCTGGTATCTGATCCGTTTACTGGGGAACTGCAGTAATACGAAGGAAAAGTACCCAAAGCAAACCGAGCCTTTGTCGCAGTGGGCAGAACACTGCGGAAGAGCAGCCGCCTAACACAGTGTTAGAGATCGCCAGTCAAGCCAAGAGGAGCCAGGGTGGGGGTGAGTGCGGGAACTGGAGGCGACAGTAATTAGATCGAACTGACCATTCCACGCAAGATTTAGAGAGGTGGCTAATTACACCCACCAAAAACAATAAAACAGAGGGCTGCAATCCAGCAGTTCCATTTGCAACAAATTCATTTGTATTTCCTTTAGGGGGGGATAAATCCGGGCTCTTCTCGCCTGCTCCAGACTCCCTGCTGTTACTCATCTGAGCTTTTTAAATGATTTATTCCACCTAATGATGGAGAATGCGCCACGTGCCAGCTGAATTTAGAGAAATGTTTCCTAAACACGTATGAAATGGCCGTAAAGATTCATGAGAGTGGGCCCAGCAGCATCCCCCCAGCTGTGATTATTCGGGAAAACATTCTGTACCTCTTGCTACCAGAGTCTTCATCTCGTATAAAATTAGCGCTGTGCTTGTTAATTGAATAATTAGTCAGGTGCATACAGACGTCGTCCTGTAAATAATTAAACAAACAAGCAGGTTATGAGGCTTGTGAGATTTCAGCCTCCCTTATGCTCCTTCTTCACTTGGGTGAGGGGGTGGGAGAAGCACCCATACCTCGTGAAAAGCATTTCAGGTCTATCTTTCTATCACTGTGACTTCACTTTCCTTAAATAATTAATTCTGACTGTAAAATTTCCAGCACACAGAAGTGACTCCTTTCTACTTCTCAGGTGTGTGTGTGGGGGGAGGGGGGTGTATGGAGACAGGGAACCACTTGATATTTCTGCTTTCTGAGTTCCCCAGTCAGAATAAACTATGTAATGCAAGCAATACCAGATTTCTAGAAACAGATCTGAAAAGATGTATTGATCCATGCAGGGTATTTTGTAAGGCAAGGTGTTAAGAGCAACACTAAACAGATGAAATATATATTTGTCAAAACTTCCTGCTCTCACAGCAACATAGATGGCTATCTGGGGTTTTTTTCCTGGGCTGAAAATAATGAGAGTGCAAACTGTTTTAATCAAACCATGACAACTGGGCGTTACAGAGGCATTGGCTGTGGATTCAGATTTCCCTGCGCCCTTTAGAACCTAAGTACATGTTTCATGCAACAGTTTATAATAGAATACAAAGGCACATTTGGAACCCTGCAGGGACGAAAGCAGCTGGGGGGCTGTGATTTGGAACAGAAAAAAGGATAGGCAAGGGGATAGTTATGCATCCCCTTTTCTCTACTATTTTACCGTTCTAAATAGCATTCTCCTAAAGATATTTTTGTCTTTAAAAAATCCTTACTAAAGAATCAGAACAATTCAATAATTTTAAGGCTTTTCTAAGATGTGGCTGTCAAATGTAATTCCACTACTTTTGTTTTGTTTTGTTGCAGAATTGAAACCTGAGCACTAGGGCTCAGATTTCCTTTCCTCCTTTTCTGTATATAACCTCTAGCTAGTGTGATGGTATAGCAGAACAGTGCAAACACGTAAGTGGAAGCAGTGCTTTCTTTTGCCATTGAAATAATACTCCACTTTCTCTGCTCAAAAAAAGATAATAATAAAATGCTGAAAGTAGAGTTTACAAGCAAACAAAACTAGAGGGCCTACTTCATCTAAAGAATCCAACAAACAACCATGATAAGAACACAATAAATACCTCAGGTAGAAAAATTTGGCCCAGATGATGGAGACTGCTGTGTAGAGCCCCAAAAGTATAAGACACAAATCAGGCAAAGCCCAGCTTTAGGTTACTGTAGGAGTTTTGAGCTTCACAGAACTGGCTATTCTCTACCTCCTGACCTGTGACCATCCTTATGTTGATCCTTACTTCGGATGCTAACCAACAAAACCGTGGCATCACTGCAGGCAACACTGTAATTCTAGAGGAAGGAATGCTTCACAAAATCCTTCCCAATTCCTCCTCCATTTCCCACACCGGTGGCATGAGCAGCACACATGTCAACACACACCTTTGGTGGCAGACGAGCTGCTATAACGCTTGCTCATTCATTCTTGAGCTTGCTCATTCATCCTGTTAGAGTTCGTCCATATAGTCAATGTTGAGAGAATAGTGGTAATATAGGCCAGAAGCGCCCTATCCCAGTACTAGAGGAATGGCCTGGCATGAACGGAAACCTGTCAATATTCTAGCATGCCAGTTTATGTCGACAGGATCCTCCCATTACTCACCAAATTGCTGTGTGATGGGTCTGAGTAAGCAGACGTTGCAAAGCGTGCCAGACCCTCCTTATAGACAAACACTCGTAGGGGATCGCACGATGTCACCAGCACATAAACCCGGAGATCAAACTTGAACCCATCAATAATAAATGGCTTAGGAAAAGACGATAAATGTTGACATTAACACCATATGGGTTGCTACATCTGAAGAGTGAAACATTGCCTAGAAAACCACATGCAAGCCACTATATCTGTGTTCCAGGACTTCCATTGACTTCCTGGACAGTGATCCACATGTCTAAATTGGCTCTCCACATCTTACAGGGCCCTGTTGGGTGCCTTTACTGATTCAAAATGCCCCGTACTCAATCCCACTGTGCACCATGTTCACACTGGACGGGTGCACACAGAAGAGGGCTTTCAGTGGCTGCTTCTACTACTGAAGCCCTGCTGGTTTGCCAAAGTCCATGCATGCTTTTTCTGGAAGTACCAAGTAAGAACTGATTTTTCCAATATGCACAGAGTTAGAAGACTCCTTGCAGGCCATCCCACCCAGCCCTGTGCTTAATGCAGGAAAACCAGCATTCGTGCATCCTCAGAAGATGGAAGTTCAGTATCTCTTGGAAGACCTCCAGTAAGGAAAATCCCTCCCGTGGGTCATTTGTTCCATTGCTGAATTGTCCTTTCTGGTAAGTAATTTCTTCTAATCTTCAACTAAAATACACCCTCCTGTAACTTAAGTCCATTAGATCTTGTCCTGCCCTCTTAGACAGCACCATAGAACAGCCCTTCAGGTATATGAAGAGTGTTAACTTACCCACACTTGGTTTTTTCCTTCTCTAGGCTAGACATATCTATTTCCTTCAATCTTTCCTCGGAGGCCTTGTTTTCCATCCCACTGACCATTTTCATTGCCCTCATTTGAGCACTTTATCTTCATCCTAATGTTTTCTAGTCTCTCGTAATACTAGACCTCAGATGGCTTCATTCTCTCAAGCTGATTGGTGAAAGTTTCAGGATGGATAAAAGAAAGCACTTCTTCACACAGCACATGGTTAAACCATGAAATTGCTGGGATGGACACCAGCTGGGTCAAATCTAAAGGGGACTGGACAAATTCATGGAGATAAGACTATCAGTGCCTACCGGTCCTGATGGCTACAGCTAGATCCAGCAACAGAGGCACTTCCTGGGGAACTTGGGTGGGAGGTGTTGCTGCACTTACACCCAGTTTGTGTGATCCCACACAAGATCACAGGGAGAGCCACACTGGATCAGACCAAACTGGTGGCTGGCCACCATGCAAACAGAATGCCTGACAAGAGAGGTCTGATCCAGTGTGGCTCTCCCTATGCTCTTAACAGGACACAGTATTCCAGATGACACTCGAATTCCTTACTTCTCTGACCAACTTACCTTCTGGCCTGTAAGTCCTTTCACAACCCAGGGCATTCCTCATCAGCATCCTTATCCTATTCCACTTATCCTGTGGTTCTTACTTCATAACCTGTTGCCTACTGTCCTCCCTTCCCTCACCCCCTTTCTTCCTGAGCCCCATATTCCAAGTTCCTTTCCTGCCCCCAATTCCTTAGTATTGCACCGACAGCATGCAGCTGCTCTTGTATCTGGGTGCTATATGGTCCCCTGTCCCAAGTCCAACAGCTTCCCTCACTCTAACTGGGTTCACTTGACACAACAACCACCATGGGTAGCAAACTATGGTGTAATGTCACATTGTCCAGAAGTGAAGGACATTCTGTGGGGTGATTTACTTTTGGGAACAAGAGAATCCATGGTCTGTTGGATGGTTGTTCCTGCCCATGATAGAGTATTGTCTGAACCCAGGACACTAACTGTATTGTGGTTTTCCACACTAGTCAGTGGTTACTTGGTTGGGAGCGGGGAGGAGAAAATGCAGCAGAAGTGGGAGCACAATATCTCCTCCTTGGCAATACTATCCTGCCACTTTTAAGTGTGGTACTGATGCTTCTTAGTGTCTTCCATCTTTTCAGCTACTCCCCAGATCTGCAGCTACACTGGGAAGAGATTAACTCCCTGCCACTTTTCATGGCTCCATTTTGAAGAAGTTACTGCTGCAGTTACTACAGATCCCAGGCAGGTGGGGGGGGGGTGGGATCCAGGGAATGAAAAGAGTAGTGATTGCAGGAGGATCCAAGGAGATAGGATCAGCTCTAACACCAATTCCCCTGGGATATGTGCCAGAACCCACTGGAGGAATGAAAAAATGGGGGTGAACAACCCATGGCAAGCTCAGTCACCTGTCAGTTGTGCACTGGATTGTTCTGCAGACAATTAGCCCACAATGGCTTATTTGCTGGGTGTGTTAGCATAATATGCAATCCTGCACCAGCCATCAATATTCTTTGCCTGACTGATCTTTCCCCTTCTGTAGCGAATGCTTGTGAACATCTGCAAAACTGCCACAGCTCAGCCTCAGCCCAGGGAACTCAGGCAGCCTATTTTCAGTCAAAATCAAGGAGCTACCTTTGAGATATAGAGCTGGCAGATCATGTCCTCTCCAGGTTTGATATCTTTTACAGTTCTTGTGATGAAAATGCCTTTGCCTTGACAGCCAGAATCTGGTTTGCAGATGTAAGTCTTATGCTTTTTGGATCTGCCAAAGGACTGCAATTCTCCATAGCTGACAGACACGAGGAGGAAAGCAAAAAGAGATTCTTATTTGGCATAAAATCGAACAGAGGCATACCTGCAGGCCAAGATAAACTAGGGATGGTAATGGAAAGTAGCTCTGTTGCCATCATCACACTAGACACAGACTAAACAGACAGAGAGATTCAGAGGCCTATGCTACCCTCTAGACAGGCCCTATCATACCATACCATTACAGATAATTAATGGTATGATATGATAGCATTCCCACCACAAAAAACTTGTAAAATTGTCACACCGCACAGGAGGAATTATCTGAGAGGGAGCTAAAGGTCCCAGAGAGGACCAACAGCAAGGAGGCAGCCATGACAGGTGAGCTCAGAGAGCCTGGCCCTCAGGGGAGATGGCCGTGGTTCAACCGTCACAGGGAGCTGGGAGGCAGAGGCTGGGAAACCAGCTAGTCCCTCAGTGCCATCACCTCAAGAGGCAGCCTGGTAGGTGCCTTTGAAAAGGACAGAACAGAGGATCCCTCAAGGGGAAGGGACTCTTGGGGGTAAGGCCTGTAACAACCTGCAGCTGAGCCCTGGGTGGGGGTCAGGCAGGTCTGGCAATTATGAGCCTACCGTGCCAGTCTAGCCTCTGCTGGAAACAAATGGGCTTTTCTACATAATTGCTGTATCTACTTTTGGTTTTGTTGCAACACGGAGATCCATGCTCTACACAAAGAGCTCTTCCCTTCCTGCTTTTCTGCTGCACAGCCTCCAGGTAAAGCTGTGCTGTAGTGCAACTGCTCCAAAACACAAGGGGAACACTGTTTTCCTTCTTCTAGCATAATACCCCGTTTCCCTGTTCTAACAAAAGGGGAAGAGTGCTGTGGAAGCAAAACTGGAGGAGGGTGTAGTCATTTAGCTGGCAAACAACTGCAAGGAATCACAAATGCACAGTAAATGTCGCATGCAGAAAATCTCAGTGTCTTCTACCAGCTCTGAGGACTTGTATCTCTGACCTTGCTCCATGTTCTAATAATCTTGGACTCCTGCTTGATTCTGCTTTTTGGACTATCTACTGTACCTGACTACTATATGTATTTTTACCCTGGCTACCTACACGTTTCTTTTGGAACTCACCCTATTGCCTGTAAAAACATGCCTTTGACTGCTACCTGTTTATTCCCTTGTTTTTGGATTGACCCTTAGTTTAACCGAATGCAGTGCCTGATCCAGCCATCGCAGGACAGCAAAATGAATATCTGAACATTTGTAGGAAAGACATCCTTCCCTGCATCCTCACAACTCTCTGCCCACCAGCTTTTCTGCCCACTTTCTGCATCTATGCAATGATGAAGAGGAAGCATTCAAAAGTAAGCATTTCAGTAAGACTCACTCAGCAGGAAGACACCAGGTCCTGGGAAAGAAGTTAAACTCCTTGGGGAAAAGTTTGAGCATCCTGCCCATGTTCCTGGCCAGAAGGTCCTTCCTACAGATTTCAGACATCCCAGGGAAATGATTTATTTTCTAAAAAAGGAGGTTAAAGACAAATTTCTAAGTGCTACTTAAGCATCCAGATCTTTTTTCGGGAATATAAACAGGTAGATGCTTCAGAGTGACAACAGTACCTGGTAACTTTTCATTTCCATCACCCGATCCAGCGAGACAGAATAATCTGTCCAGTACAGGGTCCAGTCATCCAGCTCACTCGCCTCCCGGAGGCCACACATCACTGCAGCCCGCCGTACTGCATCAGAGGAGGAGAGACACGGCACATCAACATTTACACAGAAAGGACCAGGAGGGGAACTGAGGGAACTTGGTCACCTTCCAGAGACACATCGTAAGTGCAGTGGTCTAACTTGCATATTCTTCATTCCATGTAATTGACGCAATGAATTATCACTTACTTGAGCCTGGAAGGTGCAAAGCTAGAGTTGACCAACATTTTTTAGTTCCTCTGAAAGATTCGGATATTTAAATTGCTACTCTAAATAATGATACCTAATGTGTGCATGTGTGTGTGCTTTAACCATACCTTCCAGTTTCCAAACCTTATTTCCTTCTGCGATCCTATAATCCAGAATCTAAAAGTCTGGCTTCTCAACATTCTATTCAGAATGAAGAGAAATATAAGTCGCCCTCTAATGCAAACTGAATTTTTCTCACTGTTTACAAGAACTGGCTCAGAAATAAGGCCAACTCCCTCTTTTACAGTTTGTGGACAAAATAAAGAGTACTTACCACTCTCGTATTTGCAGTTGGTCAGATTTATGACTAGTCATCTGGAAAATATAATGGGAAGAAGAAAGACAGAGGCAGACAGGCAAAACCAATTCATGGTTTTACTGTGAAAAAGCCAAGAATCTTCTGGATCTACATTCTAAGAGCGAAGCATTTGCCTCTATCCCATCCAAGCATGGATGAAGTACTAGACTTGGATACTGGATAGCCTGTTTGAATCCCATCTCAGTCATTAACTCACACTGAAGGGCCTTGGTACATGCTCTGTTTCGGCCACAATATGTACCTCATGGGAAGTAGTATAAAAATTAATATGGCTACCTAATGTTCTATTAAAAGCATTTATAAAGATAGGAAACATCTTTCAGAGGGCACAACAACACATTGCCTTAGCAAAGGTATGATCCCAAACCCACATCTGCTGAATTAACACAGAAGTGGGGCATAGCATTTGTGAGAGAGAATTAGCAGGTGGAAAGAGTGGCTAGCTCTCCCTGTGCATCTAGATTTTATTCATTTATTTATTGGATTTATGTCCTGCCTTTCAAAAAAACCAAGAACAAAAGGCTTACATCATTCTCTTCCTCCTCCTCCTCTCAGTCTTAAAACAATCTCTTCATAACAACACCCCTGTAAGGTAGGTTGGGCTGAGAGTCTGTGACTGGCTCTAAGTCACCCAGTGAGCTCCATGGCTGAGCAGGAACTAGAACCCAGGTCACCTCAGTCACAGTCCTGTGCTCTTAACCACGACACCACACTGACTCTTTGATTCTTGCCTGCAACATTATGCCCAGGCTTCTTCTCCCCAGCTGGTCTTATTTCTGGTTTCAGAGCTCAGTTGGGCAAAATTGTCATAGAGGAGAATTGGTGGAACTGAGAATGTGAGCTTGTTCTCTGATACTCCGGATGTCGATCAAGATGCATGCACCTCTGATTTCCGCTGCTCTGATAAGAGTTTGACTCTAACTGGTTTACATATTAACTGTACCTAGCCTTGAACCTGGATGCCCACATTTCCATGGTGGTCAGGCAGCTTATAAAATCCCCTGCTTTTTCTCCATGTTCTCTTCACAAGAACCCAGTGAGGTAGGTTAGGCTGAGAGTCAGTGACGGGTCCAGAGATACCCAGTGAGCTTCATGTCCGAGTAGGGACTAGAACCCGGACCTGCCAAGTCCCTGCCCAGCACTCAAACCACTATATGGTTTTTGTTGTACCTGTATACTGATAGTGTGTGTTCTCTTCCTATGGGCCACTCCAAGCATAAACTGGGGGAAAACAGCATACTAATAAACACCGGTTGAATATTTCTTGACATTCTTAGTTATGAATGGACCAAGTATGGTACATTCTTTTTAGAGGATCCCATCCAACTCAATGACATGCTGATGTAATATTGTACGTTGCTGCTGATGAGAACTTGTGTGGGAGAATCACACACAGGATAAAGCACTTGCTAATGCTACAGGTCCCTCTTGTGCTCCAGGGGGTGTGTGCATGCCAAGGTGCGTTTTCGCTATTGTCCTATTTCTTTTATTCATTCCTTTCCCCTGTGAAGATCCATGCTTTGGCTAGGCTCATATAGTGTGCAATATAGTGCTCTGTGTATGGAATTCTGCATTAAGCAACCAGATCGTTGAAACTGCTGTTATTTTGAAGAATATTTTAGACTGGTATTTTTAGGTGGTATTTGAAGAATATTTTAGACTGTCAAGCCCTTTTAGACTGTCATCTCATGTTCTGTAAAGTACTCTGCGCAGTGCTGGCACTGTATAAATAATAAAAACAGTGTCTCTTAAACATGACAAAAAGTATGCACTGCAAAATCAAGAGTCTTGGCATGTACCATAAATTAATAATAATTAAGAATGTGGCATTGGTTTGATGCCTGGGACTCCATGGCCACCATGGAAGGAGTGGCTGTGTGGTACCAGATGGAGCAGGGAGGGGAAGACTGGAAGGAGGTGTAGAATTGTGACATATAGACCCTGACCATAGGAAAGCTAACATGGTCTATTAACATGCGCTCCCTAGAGAAGTGCACCTGGTGCCATCATTACATGCTTTTTGGCACCAGGTCAAGACCTTTTTATTTAACCAATATTTTAAGGCTAATAGAGTCTAAGTATTATTATAATTATTTTAATCTGGTTAATTTATTTTAATAATTAATTTATCTATGTCAGTCATGGGATATTTAATTTATTGTTATTTGGGATGGGATAGAGGCAAATACAAATATATTGTATTTGTACAAATATATTGTATTTATAGATCTCACTGTAAGCCGTCTAGAGACGGAAGTGATGGATGGCCTAGAAATACTCTAAATAAATAAATAAGTAAATTCTGAACCTTCAGCATTTTCAGCATTTCTCAGAACAAATTCAACCTAGAGGCAATTTGGAGAGAAAATACCCAAGTGAATATGTCAACAAATGTTATTTTAGCTAGAAGGATCCTGCTAGAGCAGGACGCTTGCTCCTGTACAGAATGATATTCACATTATCCTGGAGGGTATGCTAAAAAAGGTCTGCATAAACCTGTGACCATTTACCTTCTGAACCCTGCTTGCATTTCCATAAGAATATTATTTTGATGGCTTTTAAAATAAAAGTAAGGAACTAGCTAAACATTTTCAGCGTGTGAGAGATGCCAGTGGAGTTTTGATACCAGACCTAAAGTGTGCAAGCTTCCTATTCTCAAGCAGTGTGTCCACTGGCCCCATTTCTTGCAGATCTGCAGAAAAGCTGAGTCTCCTTCCACTACAAGAAAGTAGTGGACAAATGTGTTTGCTTGCCAACAGCTGCGGCATCAGTTTCAGTGAACAGAGGACTCCCAGAGCCCTGGCTGAGGTATCAGATGAGCCACAAACACTACAGTTCATTTGATAAAAGACGCAGAGAAGCCTTTGCCATAAGACCAGTCAAACAGGCAATGAGATCACCATCAGCCAATCCAAAGCAGGCTAGAAATTGCTGCCTTACATTTAAAAGGAGGATATATTTAATACATAACAAACTGTGATGAAAAACAGTTCCACTTGGATTCTGGTACAGGGGAAGGTACTAGTCATGGTGGCTGGATGCTCCTTCCAAGATCAGCTGACAGGAAACAAGAGGAGAGGGCACTACAGCCCTCATGTCCTGCTTGTCGCCTTCCAGAGGCACCTGGTTAGCCACTGCAGGAAACAGGCTGCTGGACTAGGCAAGCCTCCAGGCTGATCCATCAGGGCATTCTGAAGCCATGCTTAATTTCAAATCTCTTCCCAAGCCATGAAACTTCAAGGGAAACTCAATGAAGTCACCATCTTTCAGTCCAACCTGCCCCTCAGCATTAATGGAAAGATACAGGGCCACAGCTCAGTGGAAGAACAGCTGCCATGCATGCAGAAGATCCCCAGTTCTACCCAGCATCTCCAGTTAGGGTTGGAAAAATTCGTGCATGAAACCCTGGACTACCACTGCCAGTATCAATAAGACTCGGTCAAATGAACTCGTGGTCCAACTTGGTAAAAGGCACTAGCCTCCTACTTAAAAGACTGAAGCTAAGCACACACTGATATGCACTTGAACTCTTCAGATAGATGGCCAGGGCTGGGAAGAATTATCCTTATATTCTTTTTTGCACTATAATTTTCTCTCAGCACAGGAGTGTTTCTTCCCACTGTGTAAATCTTGCACATCTTCCTCATTCTCATGCATACCGTATGAGCCTACCTATAGCTCAGGGGCAAGCAACTGAGAACCCTCCAGATATTTTGGCCTACAACTCCCAGTAGACCTAGCCAGCACTCCCAGGGATCCTGGAGTTGTAGGCTACAACATCTGGAGGGCCACAAATAGCCCTCTACATATTCCTCATGTAGTTTTGCATTTCCGTATCCTTAACCAAATGTCACAATGCTTATTTCTAACCTCCTTTTCTTCTTTTTCTTCTTCACAACAGCACTGGAGCTTGAACTTCTTCTGTTTTCCTCCTCACACACTACAGTTTCCTGGTCCTGCTCAGTGGTGTCCAACGTACTTTCCTCTCTTTCCAGGCTGCTTGGAAAATAATCTAACTCAGATGCATCCTTCTCACCCAGCTGTTGTCTTTCTCTGTGAAATGAACGATACCTTTGCACTTCATCTGATACCTTCATCCTGCCAAAAGATAAAAAGTGGGCAGGAAGGGAGGAGCAAACTGGATCCATGGTGTATATCAACATTCATACACACTTGTTTGTGGATCTGGTCTTTTCCTTGTTAAGCAACAAAAAGATGTACCGCACACCCCTTGTGCTGCATACTTCCTTTGTAGAGACCTCCTTAACTGGCTGCATCTCCTTGAATTTCTCCATCTTTGAATAAGATGGCCTTCTTTTCTTCCCTTCAAAGTTACAGTCATCCACCGTGGCTCTCAACAAAAATATCCATGTGATCAGACACTTCATACAAGGAAGACTACCAGGACTCTTGGTCCTTTTGCTTAGCTTTAAGATATTATGAATTCATCCCAGAGCTGGAATTACAGCTAAAAGTATCCATCTCACATGGCCAGTGCTTCTTCAAGAGCTTACCCCTGCTCATCTCTATTGGTTCTGTCCTTAGATACTCTAGTGCAATGCTATAGCCCAAAAAACCCCAGACATCTCACTTGAATGCCACCTCTGTACTGACACTCGATAAGCAGAGTAAGAGAACTCTGGATCTACCAAATCTACAGGTTGAAACTTGAATCTAACAGGGTCAGGTTCTCTTGCAAGCAAGCGGTTCAAAGGGAAGTTAGCAGGCCTGTGCATTTCTGGGTGGAATTAAGTATCATCCCTCATATCCTATCAAACATGTCCTCTTTTGCTACAAAACTAAACTCTGTACAATTAAAGTTAGACTCCAGTAACTAAGGGTGCAATCCTGTGCTGGCTGGAGCACACTGAAGTTGTAGGACCTTTAACATTTCATTCCAGTTATGCATAGGTTTGCATGTTCATCTGCAAAGTTTTTCACTTACACATTCAAACTGCATGGATAATCATGGATATATAAGGATAACA